CACACACACACACACACACACACACACTTGCCTCCCCTCTCAAGCATTTGTTGTGCAGTTCCTCTTTGTCTGCTGGGCAGGAGGGCAAACACATCTGCCTCCCCCTCCCCGTGTGCCTCCGCTCCCACCCCGCCACTGTCTTGGAAGAGGGATGTGGTAGCCTAGCATCCCCCCACACACACACACCACCACCACCACCGCCACACACACTTGTACATTTTCTCCTGCCCCCTCCCCAAGCACATCCACACCTCTCTCTCTCCACTACACATACACACACGCACACACACACACGCACACACCCTGGGCTGAGCGGTCCTGCCGGCTGCAGCCGCGGGGCCCCTGCTCACCGTGCGGCTGCCCCTGCCTGCGAAATGACGGCGGTTCCCCTCACTTCCAGGAATCCACGCTTCCTGGAAGGTGAGTGGCTGGGCTCACCCCTGCCTGCCACCGAGACGCAGACATGCACACACCACCCGCACTCCCGCGCCGTTTCCAAGGCGGCGGCCGCGTTCGCACCCCGGGGTCTCACCGGCAAGGGAAGGATAATGTAAGTTCAGGCAGAAGGCGGCTAGCGGAGCGGGGGAGGGGGGTGATGGGGCTAGGGGAGCCGATTCAGTACCAACTCCCAAGCCTGCGGAGAGGGAAAGGCGGCGGGGGAGGGGGCGTTCCTCCTCACGCTCGCTCGGGGAGGATGGGAAAAGGGTGTTTGGTGTTGCTAAGCGAAGACGGTGACTTGGACAGTGGGAGCTGGTGGTGACATCTTGATTAGGCCTTGGGGACAGAGGGAGAGCAGCCAGGGGAGGAATGCCGAAACAGGCCTGGGTGGGAATGGATAGTGGAAAGACCTGAGGCGAGGAAGAGGAGTTTTGACGGCAGATGCTTCCTCCTGGAACAGAGGTGTGAGTGGCCTCAGCCTCCTGCCCACAATAGAGCCGGCGGCGGCGGCGGCGGCGGTGGCTGTCTTTCTTCGCTCATGCACTCGCTGGTCCCTGATAGCAGGCTAGCATCCTGCCACCTGGAGCCCATGGTCAAGAAGAGAAAGCAGGAGGATGAGGTCCCTTGCAGAGAAGCGCAGAGGCTTGCCGAGCGCCAGGTTATTCCCCAGAGGCAACCACTCCAGGGATGCAGGAGAGGGCTGGTCTCCGTCAGTGTGGGGAAGGCTGGTACTGCTTCCCATCCCTTCCCTCCAGCTTTTCTGCCCTCCTCCGTTGCTCTGCTGTGAACCTCAGGATTTAGCTTTGCTCCCTGGGGTTTCAGCCAATCCATGATGGCTTTGACCAAGAAAATGTCTCTGATACCTGAGAGCGGCCTTAATTCTTGGCTTTGACAGTCTGAGATTTCTTGGAAGTCCCAGGCATTTGAAATTCCCTCACTGGGGTTTCTGGGGCCGAGAGGGGAACTGATGAGTTCCCCAAATCTGACTTCTGTCCCTGTCAGCCTCAGGCTAGAAATCTAAATCCCTGGAGCCCCACAAAAAGACCTTCTGGCCTTTGACACAGATTCCTCCTTAGATTTTAGTGCCAGGAAAGTAGACTCGAGTCTGTTTTCCTCTTACCTTTATCCTAGGGATGACAGCGTCGAGGAGCCTCGGGATCACTGGTGCTCCTCGAGGCTCCCGCTTTCTCTCCTGTTTCCAGCCCTTCACTGGGAGAGCCACAAAGAATGCTTTCCCCTCAGTGTCCCTAAGTATCCCCGTAAGAATATTGTCCCGCCAGCTAGCTAGCCCCTAGTCTCAGAGGCAGCCTCAGCTCCAGGAGGCTGGGACCAAGTATGGATTTCCAAGAAGCCCCTCATCATTTGAGGATCGAGGCTTTAGCAGGTCCCTCCTTACCAACATGGAGTGACTTGGAGCAAGTCAGCACTAACCTTTGAGAAGGATTAAGAAGCTGGGTGTGGCGCATGCCTGTCACCCTGGTGCTTCCGAGGCTGAGGCTGAGGCAGGAGGACTATTGATTGGGTTTACTTAGCCTTCTTCAGCCTGTCCAACCTTCTAGCCTCAGTAAACTCAGTCGAAAGGGCACGTGTTGAGGCTGGACCTGAATCTACAAGTCTTCACGGTTCGGGGGGCTGCTCACATCATGGCTTGTGTCTTGAGGCAACTTTTTAAGGGAACCACGACTCACCTAAAGAGCCTCAGCTGGGGGACATCGGATTCAAGCCAGAAGGCTTTTTCTATAGGTGGTGTACAGGCCTCCTCGGCTTCCATGGGATAGAATGGGGAAATGGGACTTTAGGAGAGGATGCGAACGGGAAATGGTCCCAAAGTCCTGAGTGGTTGTTTTCTTCCCACTGACCAAAGCTGGAGAGGGATCCCTCAGGAGGGTGTGTTCCGGATTTCTTGCCTCAGGCCCAGGACTCCAACCATTTTATAATGGAATCTTTATTTTGTGAAAGTAAGTATGTGCGTAGCTGGGGTCTGGGTAAAGTGTTAACCAAGGTGGACTCTAGGGATGAATTTTAGGGTCTCTCTCTCTCTCTCTTCTCTCTCTCTCTCTTCCATGTTTAGGCCTTATGTGCATGTTCATGTTAGCAGATAATGTATACGGAGGTGATGTTTACTCCAGTAGGTATGTTCTCTTTATATGTATCTACGTATGTGATCTGTGTTTGTGTGTTTATCTACATGTGTTTTTGTTTCACTCATATATTTGTGCAGAAAATTGTGGGGAAGGGGGGGATTTTTGAAGACACTCCTGTTTTTCAGGTATGTTACCAGATTTAAAAAAAAAAAAAAACAAACATAATTTCAAAAGGCATTTTTAAAAAGTATTTGGTCAACAAGTTGAAATGGATGCATTTAGGATCATTGATATTTAGCTCTCGAGAGAACATCAAATAGTAACTATTCGATCGGACTCGGGTCAACGAGAAAGCTCTCTAGAGCTTCAAAGTTTGGCTGAATTTAAAGAGCTTCATGAGCTCACCCCCCCTCACCCCCCACCCCGAGACAGTAACTGGCCAAGCAGTGGTCAAGGACTCAGCATTATCTCCTCTGTGGTCCTACCCCAGCTCAGCCACTGCCAGCTTAGACACGTGACATAAATTTCTTCTGTGTCTCCTAATCCAAAAAATTAAAAGTAATACCTACTTTCATACGTGGTTTCAGAGCTTCAAGAAGACGGTGTGTTCCAAGCACACAGACTGAGGCCTGGTCCGAGTCCATACTCACTACATATTAGCGGCTATCATTATTGTTAACGGATATTATCATCAGGTTCTGGACAGTTCCAGATGCCCACCCTGCAGACTCCAAAGCCACTACTGGGAGCTCCAGAGAGAGCAGTACGAGAGAATGCCTGTTCCCCCTTCTCGTCAGGTCCCTGTCCTCTCTTCTACCCTGGCCCGCCCAGCCCTGGCCCTGCTTCCTGCAGAGTTAGAGCGGGTGCTGCCCTTCCCCTCGGTGGTAGATAAAGGTAGGGTAGGCCAGACTCAGCCACCGAGATCACGGAAGTCGAGGTCAGCACTGGGCACCAGGCCCCTGGGGTCACAGGGTAGGCTTCTCCCATCCAACCTACCTTGTGCATGGCTATAGGACAAGTGCGTGGGAAATTTAACTGAAGTTTGTTTGTTTTTTTAAAGATTAGGCAGCGAACTGTAGAGGCTCCAGCCCAAGCTTCACCTGCCATCTGTTCTCTCCTCCAAGGTAGCGGGGACTCATCTCTGGAGAAGGAGTTCCTCGGGGCCCCAGTGGGGCCCTCCGTGAGCACCCCAAACAGCCAGCATTCTTCCCCCAGCCGCTCACTCAGTGGTAAGTGTGGCCCCCTACCCACTCCCGGCACTAGGCAGCACCATCTTGTTTGGACCCCCGTCCATTTGCCTTCTCCTGGCCACCATTTCCCCATCATCTCCTTCCGGCTTCCTGCTCAGAAACTCTTGAGGAGGGAAGGAGCCAAACACCACTGCTCTCCTAGCTTGTGAAAAGCGTAAATAGCTAATGCCAGACTGGGGTAGAATTAAAAGGTGTATGGGTGACATTAAGATAAAGGTCGCAGCAGGGCACGGTGGCGCACGCCTTTGGTCCCAGCACTCGGGAGGCAGAGGCGGGTGGATCTGAGTTCAAGGCCAGCCTGGTCTACAAAGCTAGTTCCAGGACAGCCAGGGCTGCACAGAGAGACCCTGTTGTGTGTATGTGTGGAGAGGGGCAGGGTAGGGGGTGGGGAGTGGGAGTGGGGGATAAAGATTCCAAAGAAAAATTCTGGAGTTGGAGACAGAAAGCGGTCATTGGGTAGGGAGAGGCAGAAAATGAACAGTAACAAGACTTTACCACCTCCCACCCCACTTTGCCTGCCTGGCAGAGCCCCCCACCCCCACCCTGAGTGCCCCTCCCCAGCTGGCCCTAGATCTGTGACATTCTCTAAATGGTTGAAATAGCCAGGAATGTAGGTCAGAGCTCGTGCCAGAGCGCTCCTCCCCTGTGTCCCCCCAGGTTCCTTGGAAGAGGCACAGGGGGTTCAGTCCCTTAGGGGAGAATAAACCACACCTGTCTTCCAGTCCCACTCAGCCTTTAGCCTGTGGTCCCCTTCAGTCTCCCCAGGACGGTTTTCCCGCCACTGTTACTTGCTGACTTCCTGCCTGAGGCCAACTCAGACATCAGTCTATGTGTCTTTCTTCCTCTTTTCTTTCTTTTTCATTTTTCTTTTTTAGACAGGGTCTTACTGTGTAGCCTTGGCTGACCTGGAACTCACTCTGTAGACCAGGCTGGCCTCGAACTTACACAGATCCTCCTGGCTCTGCCTCCCGAGTGCTGGAATTAAAGGCATGGATCACCACTGCCCAACCAAACATCTTTCTTAATGAGAAGAGAGTATGCAGGCAAAGGGTCCTCTAAGTCACCTCTTCTGCCTGCTGATAGAAGACATCCTGTGCATCCTTTTTTTCCTTTTCTTTTCTTTTCTTTTCTTTTCTTTTCTTTTCTTTTCTTTTCTTTTCTTTTCTTTTCTTCTTCTTCTCTTCTTCTCCTTCTCCTTCTCCTTCTCCTTCTCCTTCTCCTTCTCCTTCTCCTTTTCTCCTTCTCCTTCTTCTTCTAAACCCTATTTGCCTGGTGGGTGGTAGGTGGGAAAGATTGCTTTCAGTTCAGATGAGTTCTGGAACGACCCGAAGATAATAAATAGGCTATTGCCCCTCCTGACACCTGTACAACTCAGGGTTTGCAGTCGCCCTGTTGGACTGTAGAAGTGTCGTTCTGCCGGGGAGCGGCTGCGCCTTTGCCTGTCTCTGTTCTAAACCTCAGTCCCCTGACCCCCAGCCAACTCCATCAAGGTGGAGATGTACAGCGATGAGGAGTCGAGCCGACTGCTGGGCCCGGACGAGCGGCTCCTGGATAAAGATGACAGCGTCATCGTGGAGGACTCCTTGTCAGAGCCCTTGGGCTACTGCGATGGAAGTGGCCCAGAGCCCCACTCCCCTGGCGGCATCCGGCTCCCCAATGGCAAGCTCAAGTGTGACGTCTGTGGCATGGTCTGTATCGGCCCCAACGTGCTCATGGTGCACAAGCGCAGCCACACGGGTGAGTAGGACGGAGGGCTTCGTGGAAGGGCTGCGGGTGAGGCTGGCGCGACCAGCAGAGGTGTGCTAGGACTTCGGCAGGGCAGGTGAGGCTGGCGCGACCAGCAGAGGTGTGCTAGGATGTCGGCGGGGAAGGGGCTGAGGAGACCCCTCTGTAGGCGGGGGTCGCTCAGAAACGGAAGGTGTGTCGGAGCACGGTTTCTAGATGATGAAAGAGAGAAAGGCGTATGAGCCCCTCGGAAGGAACATCTGTAACCTTCCTGACCCTTTTCTGCAGCTGTTGTGACGAGGAGAAGCTACTCCTCCTTTTCTCGGAGTGTGGAGAGAATGGGTCCTGGGGCCTCTAGAAGGATTCCTGAAACCTCAGTGTAGATTAGTGGTGGGGATGTGTGCATATGTAAGGCCTTGTGGTGGATCTCAACACCAAAAAATGTTTGCAGACCTGGGGGGGGGGAGCTGCCTATAGTCGTCCCAAGAGGGACAGAATCCCTGGGCCTTCTCATCTCATAATTTAAAAGGAGGTGTGGGAAGGGGAACCTCTGCTTACCCTCCTGAGACTCTGAGCTGAAGCGTTTAATATTGATAAATTATTCTTTATCAATAAAAGATCGGGAGTCAGATATTAGGGTAAGAACCTGAATGATCAGAGAAGCTTCGTAGAAGCCACCAGTCACCTCCTACCAATATCTGACTCCCGATCTTTTATTGATGAAGAATAATTAGTTAAAGGCTTCACTGAGCTATTTTGGGTAGTCGTCTTTTGGCAGGTCTTCTAGGCACAGTACTGGCTGCAAGGCACACACCTCTAATCCACAGCTTCCCAGGGTAAGAGGGCCCCCAGGTGACCTCTACAGATCAGAGAACCTTCCCTCCGCGCTCCAGCACCCTCACGCCAGTCTCTGGGACCTGCTCTTTCACCTGCAGGGGAAAGACCCTTCCACTGCAATCAGTGCGGCGCCTCCTTCACGCAGAAGGGGAACCTGTTGCGCCACATCAAGCTGCACTCCGGGGAGAAGCCCTTCAAATGTCCCTTCTGCAACTACGCCTGCCGCCGGCGTGACGCGCTCACAGGCCACCTCCGCACACACTCAGGTCAGTGGTTATCCAGAACCAGCAAAGAGGGGGGGCCCCAGCCTGCTCAGAAAAGAGCTTCGAGACTTCTCTGCCCTGGATGGTGTCTGACACGAAGGAGTGGGAGCACTCCCGGAGCACTCCCGGAGCACTCACGGAGCACTCACGGAGCAGATAGAGCAAATAGAGCCTGCCCTGCCTTGCTGACTCGGGCAGCGAGATCTATGAGGAATTTGTGGGACTCTTGACTGGGGTATTTTACTGCCGCATTCTGTGACCTGAAGCAAAAGGAACATGGTTAACATTCCTGGCTTGTCCCTGATGTTTGTTTTCTAAGCATTTTAATGATGCCAACACCATATGTGTACCATCACCGGGGACTCTGAGCCCTGCAGGAGGGGGAGGGGACTTCTTCCCTCTCTCATTTGCACCAGGAAACTACACCTGTCACCAACTTTTGGTTTGGTTTGTTTTGTTTCAAGACAGGGTTTCTATGTGTAGTTTTGGTGCCTGTCCTGGATCTCGCTCTGTAGACCTGGCTGGCCTCGAACTCACAGAGATCCGCCTGCCTCTGCCTCCCGAGTGCTGGGATTAAAGGCGTGCTCCACCACCCGACACCTGTCAACATCTTTATCCCACTCCGACTCCCAAAATACCAGACAATGCTTGGACAGTCACTGCACCCTCTACTTCCTAGTGGTTCCTGTAAATATCTACAGGCCTCCCAAGCTGGAGGAAGGGAACTAGACCTCCACATAGGAAAAGACCGTCCCATTTCTGCTCTGCATCCCCAGAAATGGTGATTTTTCTCACAACGAAGCAAATCCAGAGAGTACCCAGTACTGGAGAGGTGGGGGCAGAAAGGTCAGGTTTTCAACCAGCATGGGCTCTGTGAGACCCTGTCTCAAAAATAACCAAGTAAATAAAAGACTTTGAGTCAGCATTGGTTGGAAGGAACTGGAGAAATAATGAATAATGCTTCCTAGGTGTTTTACTAAGTGTTGGCCTCCTGGCTGGACTGAGCTGGCAAGGAGAGGGTAGCTGAGGGTGAGGAGAGGAAGGAGGGGAGAGGATTGTCATGTCTGACCTCAGAATCTTCCCTGGGCTTTTCTCTTTCTCCAAACCCTCCTGGGTAGGACGTAAAGGGACAGAGAGGCAGCTTCTGCCTCCTCCCTCCTGCCGTGTTCCAGATTCTCCCACCTAACGGGACCTCTTTGTCTCTCTATGTGTAGAAGCAGAGGTACAGTGATGATCACTCACTTATGCTCTGTAATCTGCAGAGAACATATCTTGTGTCTCCTGACGTGACCATCACCAGAATTCCAGACGCAGGCAGGGGAGCGAGAAAAAAAAAATTCTGGATGAAAATGCCCCACCCCCGGCCAGCCACTTGTTGAGATGGGGGTCTCATGTAGTCCAAGCTGACCTCAAACTCGCTGTGTAGTCAAGGATGACCTTCACTTTCTGACGCTCATCTTCCTGCCTCTGCCTGCTGAGTGCTGGGATTGCAGGGGTACACCACCACTCCTGCTTACGAGCCTGTGGAGATGGGACCTAAGACTTCCCACATGCTAGGCTAACTAAGCACACTAACAACTGAGCTGCAACCCCTGCCCTAAAGCCCCCCCCCCCCCGCCCCCAACTTGTTTAACAAGGAAAATGATGCTGTGGGGAAGGAAATGAATGTTGTGGTCTATATATAGCCTAGCCTGCTCCCATCAAGGTCCCATGGCCAAAACATATGCTCCTTTTTCTCAGGATCAAACAATTTACCTCTGGCTAGCCTAGAACTTGCCATGTAGACCAGGCTGGCTTCAAACTCACAGAGATCCAATTACATCTGCCTCCCAGGTACTGGGGTTAAAAATATGCACTATTAGCCAGGCGGTGGCGGCACATGCCTTTAGTCCCAGCACTCGGGAAGCAGAGGCAGGTGGATCTCTGTGAGTTCGAGGCCAGCTTGGTCTACAGAGCAAGTTCCAGGACAGGCTCCAAAACGACACAGGGAAACCCTGTCTCGGAAAAAAACAACAAACAAACAAACAAGCAAGCATATGCACTCCCCTGCCCCCAAATTCTTGACAAGGTCAGTTGACTAGATTTCGAGTGTTGTTCCGTAGAAGACTAAGGGGGAAGCAGACACACGTGCCGGTCCCATCTCTGTGAGATGCTTTCTGTTACAGATCACACTGTGACAGACAAGGTTAGAGGATGGTTGCTCTCCTGTGGTGTTAAACTGTTTCCCAGAGGGTCGTGGGTGGAGAGGGCCACTCATTTCATCCCTTAAGCACTTCGCTGACAGATGAAGGGCAATGTGGCAAAGGTTGATTTCGTCGTAGCCAAGCGTAGACATCTGCGGGGGGGGGGGGGGGAAAAACAGTCACTAATTCCCTCACCATGCCTTCTCCCGCCTCCTTGCTCAATAGTGATAAACACAAACATACAGTACCCTGCTCCTCCTCTTCAGGTTTCTGGTTTTTTCCCTCCCTTCTCACAAAACAATCGCCTCCCAAGAGTTGTGTTTAAACAAAGCTACCAGTCTTAGTTTTCCCATTTTTTTTTCCTTCAGAGCTTTATAACTCATTCTTTTTAAAACAAAAAGTAAGAACCCAGTTGTTCTCTTCCTCTTCCTCTTCTTCATCTTCTGTTCCTTTGCTCTTTGTCTCTCTTTCCATCAGTGCTGGGCTCTCTGGGGCTCTCTTGGTATCTCAGTACAGTGACAGAAAAAGACAATGATCAGTAAAACCAGACAAGGGCTGGAGATTAAAAAAAAAAAATCCAAGTAAAGGCCAACCACTGCGGCCCCTCCCGCATGGGCAGATATGAAGACTCTCGCTGCTCTGCGCCCTCAGCCCACCCATTTCCCTCCAGCCAGAGCAGGGTGCTTGCAGCCGAAAAGTCCCCTTGTCTGATAAACAGTATTACACCCGCCTGCCACATGGAAAGGTTAAACCGCAGCCCGAGCCCCAGACCCCGAGGATCCTGGGGTGGGGCCTGCTGTGCTTGCTTACCAGGGAGGATCCCCAACTAAGTCCCCTGGTCGTCACTTCCTTTCAGAAGCCGCAGCTGGAGCCCCTAGAATCCAGTGTGCAGCGGTGTGTGTGTGGGGGGGGGGGGCTCTCCGCGATACACCGTCAACTCTTCCCCGAGTTTGGTCCGCCCGTTCTTTGTTGTAGGTGGGGCTGGGGAAGGGATGTCAAGCCCCGCGCCCCAAAGTTAACAACTGTTCTTTCCTCTGCATGCAGAATGCAGCCGCTCCTGCGTGAGGCTTCAGAGCCGCCCCCAAGTTAACAACTGTTCTTTCCTCTGCATGCAGAATGCAGCCGCTCCTGCGTGAGGCTTCAGAGCCGGGTACAGGGCGCAGTTAGTTACTCTCTCTCTCTCCTCTGCCCCCTCCTCCAGTCTCTTCTCCCACCGTGGGCAAACCCTACAAGTGCAACTACTGCGGCCGGAGCTACAAGCAGCAAAGCACCTTGGAGGAGCACAAGGAACGATGTCACAACTACCTACAGAGCCTCAGCACGGAAGCCCAGGCTCTGGCTGGCCAGCCAGGTGGGGCAGTGGGTAGCGCCACAGGGGAGCTGCGGGCAGAGCCAGGAGCTCAGGCCAGGGTGATTCCAGCACCCCAGCAAACACAGGTCACACACACTCAGTAAACCTTCCAAGCACCTAGGTGTTCCTAAGCATCCTGGGGCAGGTCTGTAGGGAGATCCAGACACAGAGGAAATCTGAATCTGTATCTTCAGGCTAATGGGAGAGAAAACTCAAAGAACAAAGGATCAAGGGGCCGGTGTATATAACTGTCCTCAGATGGTCTGAAGTGTCACTAGAACGAGCTTTAGGTAGGGTAAGGAGCCCACAGTGACCCACGCTTTTTTTTTTTTTTTTTTGGTTTTTCGAGACAGGGTTTCTCTGTGTAGCTTTGCACCTGTCCTGGAGCTCACTTGGTAGCCCAGGCTGGCCTCGAACTCACAGAGATCCGCCTGCCTCTGCCTCCCAAGTGCTGGGATTAAAGGCATGTGCCACCACCGCCCGGCTGACCCACGCCTTTAACCCCAGCATTTAGAACACAGAGGCAGGTGGATCTCTGTGAGTCCAAGGCCAACCAGGGATGCATAGTGAGATCCTGTTTAATAACAAACAAAATAAAACAAAAAGAGCCGGATGTGGTGGCGCACACCTTTAATCCCAGCACTTCGGGAGGCAGAGGCAGGTGGATCTCTGTGAGTTCGAGGCCAGCCTCTTACAGAGGGAGTTCCAGAACAGCCAGGACTGTTTCACAGAGAAATCCTATCTCAAAAACTAAAAATTTAAAAAAAGAAAGATAGAAAGTCAGCCCCGTTTCCCAGGTATAACCTTCCTTGACTACTGACTGGCCGGCTTTCTGCAGGCAAAGGCTGCTGGGCCACTGTCACTCAAACTCAGCCGCTCCCACCTGCCCCTCCTCTCCAGGTGATGAAATGCGCGACCTGGAGATGGTGCCTGACTCAATGCTGCACTCCTCGTCCGAGCGGCCAACATTCATTGATCGCTTGGCCAATAGCCTCACCAAACGCAAGCGTTCCACCCCGCAGAAGTTTGTAGGTAAGAAGAGTCCTGTTGGAGAGAAGACCGCAGCTTTACCCCATAGCTCCAATAAATCACAGCTCTGATTGACATTAGACCGGAGGCTTGGGTCTGGTGATTTGATTTTGGAGGGCGGGGGAAGCAGCCTAGCGGTCTCCGTGATGCTCAGAATGTCCCTGTGTGGATGGAGAGGGACGACATACTTCTAGAGACTTGGGGGACGCAGCTCAGTCTGTAAAACGCTTGCCTTGCAAGTATGGGAACTGGAGTCTTTATCCCCAGAACCTGCACAAGAATGCCAGGCATGGTAGCATGTGCTGGCAACCCTAGCCCTGGGAGGCAGAGACAGAAGGATGCCCTGAGGTCACCGGTCAGGCCGGCTAGCCTAATTGGTGAGCTCCAGGCCAATGACAGATCCTATTTCAAAGGATGTGGATGGCACTCCTGAGGATGACACCCAAGGTGGTCCTCTGACCCCCCCACATGTGTGTACACAGACATACACGTGCACCAGCACAGAGATGAATATGCACACCATGCACACACACAGAACATGCATAAAAGACAGAGTGGAGAGCCGTCAGTATTGAGGACTCATCTGGGGTTTGAGCTTTCCCATCTTTTGAAAAATAACAAGGGCCGGGCGGTGGTGGCGCACGCCTTTAATCCCAGCACTCGGGAGGCAGAGGCAGGCCTGCTCTCCAAAGCAAGTTCCAGGAAAGGTGCAAAGCTACACAGAGAAACCGTCTTGGAAAAAAAAGAAAAGAAAAGAAAAAAAAAGAAAAATAACAAGGATTAGTCTGTGTGGGCTGGTCTTAGAGTCAGTGAGAGGAAGTGGGCATGTGGTTCCCTGACCTGAAAATGGCATTATCTCTCCGAGGATCTGAAACTTTATAGAGAATAACGAGGAGCGGGCGGTGGTGGCGCACGTCTTTAGTCCCAGCCCTCGGGAGGCAGAGGCAGGTGAATCTCTGTGAGTTCGAGGCCAGCCTGGGCTACAGAGTGAAGTCCAGGACAGGCACAAAACTACACAGGGAAACCCTGTCTCGAAAAACAAAAACAAAAAAAGAGAGAATAATGAGGATGAAACTTCAAAGAGATGCCTTGCCCTAAGACTTCAGCTTTCCTTCAGCCTGACCCTCTGGGGAGTAAATGGGATGTATTCAATGATGTTGTATGTAATGATGGGATGTATTAAATGATGTTGCCTGGGAGGGTGTATTCAATGATGTTACCTGGGACTGTGGGTATAGCTCAATGGTAGAATATGTTCTTAGCATGTGTGAAGCCCAGGGTTGGGTCTCCAAGGCTAATTAATAGTGATGATAACGATGCTGTTATATACAGGCCCCTGGGTTAGAAAACAAAGAAGAAATTGTGGCCATGACTTAGGGATTCTTCAAACCCCGTCCCAATGAGATCTTACTCTCCACAGGTGAAAAGCAGATGCGTTTCAGCCTCTCCGACCTCCCCTATGATGTGAACCCCGGCGGTGGCTATGAAAAGGATGTGGAGTTGGTGGCGCACCACGGCCTGGAGCCTGGTTTTGGAGGTTCTCTAGCCTTTGTGGGTACAGAGCATCTGCGTCCCCTCCGCCTCCCCCCGACCAACTGCATCTCGGAACTCACACCTGTCATCAGCTCTGTGTACACCCAGATGCAGCCCCTCCCCAGCCGACTGGAGCTTCCAGGGTCCCGAGAAGCAGGTGAGGGACCTGAGGACCTGGGAGATGGAGGTCCCCTCCTCTATCGGGCCCGGGGCTCTCTGACTGACCCTGGGGCATCCCCCAGCAATGGCTGCCAGGATTCCACAGATACAGAGAGCAACCATGAAGATCGGATGGGCGGGGTGGTGTCCCTCCCTCAGGGTCCCCCACCTCAACCTCCTCCCACCATAGTGGTGGGCCGGCACAGCCCCGCCTATGCCAAAGAGGACCCCAAACCACAGGAGGGGTTATTGCGGGGCACCCCAGGCCCCTCCAAGGAAGTGCTTCGGGTGGTGGGTGAGAGTGGGGAGCCCGTGAAGGCCTTTAAGTGTGAACACTGCCGCATCCTCTTCCTGGACCACGTCATGTTCACCATCCACATGGGCTGCCACGGCTTCAGAGACCCTTTCGAGTGTAACATCTGTGGTTATCACAGCCAGGACCGGTATGAGTTCTCTTCCCACATCGTCCGGGGGGAACATAAGGTGGGCTAGCGACCTCTTCCCCTGGGCCTGTCCTCAGCCCACCGCTCCACTGCCCCACCTACGGGTGTCTAGCCCAGTTCCTACCACACCCCAAGGAGTTCTGCATCCACTGGCCACCTCACTTCACACTTGACTCAGACCCCCTTTGCCTGCTCCCCTGGCTGATGTAAGCATTGTGACAGACAAGAGTCTTTTTGCTTATATTTCTCCTTCTGAACTCCTCTCTCCCCGGCATTTTTCCTGTTTATTAATGACTTTTCCTCGACCTTTTTAAATGTACCGCAATCTCTGGCCACTCCTTCACTCTCCTGCCCACGGCTCCCGTCTGCTCTAAGCCTAGATTTTTTTTTTCCCCCTTTATGGATCCCACCTCCTCCAACAGCCCCAGGGGTTGGAAGCTCCTCTTTGTACTTAGAGACAGGGAGCTTCTTGCTTTAATCCTGACCCTTATTTATCTGACTCTTCACTTTCGATGTTGATACCTCCCAGTGGCCCACCTTAGCTCTGTGGCATTATTATCTCCTCTCTGGGACCCTCCAACCTGGTACTTCATACCTCTCGTGCCCCCTCACTCCAGGCAGCTTGCACTATTCTTAAATGAATGAAGAATTTCCTCACTGGAAGTAGGAGAGGCTGTAGAAACTCTTCCCCAGGAACTGTGGACTGAGGGTCCTCTTGACCTCACCTGGGAATACGAGCTCCCTAAAGCCTCCATTCAGGGCCTCCCTCCAGGATGTGATATCGCTCTTCCCTCTCCCCGGCTCACCCCTCAACACCACTCTGGTCTCAACCAGCCGCTCCTCTCGGTGGTGGCTTTTATCTCTTTGCAGTGCCCCCATTTTTATATTCTCAGGGGCTAAAGCCAGGCCTGCAACCCTGTCTGACAGACCTCGAGCTGCAGGTGCCTAGCTGAGAACCAGGGCACCGGAAAGGGGGTGGGTAGAAATCTCTCCTCCACCTTTCAAACTTTCTCACTCCAGTGACCTTCCTAGGCTCTCAGGGACTCCTTCTGTCCCCGTTTCATGAGAAACTGGTGGGTTGCCGCCCGACGACCAGGGGTCTCCCAGGCCCGTCAGTCACGCTGCCTTTTTCCTCTCCCTTCTAGCAGGATTCACCGTCTCGTTCCCAGGCTCCTGGGCCCTGTTGTTATCAGTGGCAAGGAGAAAGGAATGTCTCTTTTCTCTCTGCTAATTTTCAGTATAACCAAAAATTGTCCCAGGATGAATGGCATGTATGTGCCCGCCGACCATTCCACCCTTGTTTCCAGCAAGAATGGGATGGACGCAACTAACCGGGCGTCATCCTTCACTGCCCTTCCATACTCGGCTCCGGACACAGGGCAGGATGGGCACTCTCTTCTCTGGTGGTTGCAGGGACCCTGGCTATCTGGATAATCGAGGGTTCATGAGACCACGCAGGAGAAGGGATAGCTCCACCGCACGTGGAGGTCTCTCTCTCTCTAGAGTTCCCTGCCAAGGCCACAGCCATCCCACTCTCTGCTTCTTTGAGATTCAAACCAAAGGCTGTTTTTCTATGTTTAAAGAAAATAAGAAAAAAAAAAAAAGTAAAAACCAAACACAGCACCTCATAAGTTATAAGTCTCGGTCTTCTCTCCTCCTTTCCTTCCCCTCCATCTTCCTTTCCATGTGTCCTCTCTTCGTTGGCTCCTCTGCCTCTCTCTGCTTCTCTCTCCCTAGTAGGGATATTGAGGCGCACGAAGGGGTGGGCTACATCAGATCCTGGGAATGGGGCTGTTAAGCCTTCTGGAGAGTCTGCTTTTCCTATCATGAGAGGGGCGGGGTTGAAAACACTGTCTTCTCTTCCTTCTCCTGCGTTACATGGCTTCCCAGGAGGGCCAGATTGGCAGGGAGGGGCTTTGTGGGGTGGTTCTTCCTCCTTGACAAAGCAGCAATAAGCAGGTGCCGCCAAAGGCGGGCGGAGCATGGGGCCTGAGCCCCAAGGGGAGTGGTCCCCAGAGAAGGGCAGGGTGGGTCCCCGCAGCAGAACCTGGCACTAACTCCTGGGATGGCAGCCGAGCTGTGGTTGGTGTCTGCACCTCTCCTGAACTCTTCTGGCCGCGGAGCCTCTTCCGGTTAGACCGGCCCCCCACCTCTCCTGTGTCTGCATTTGGGGATACCTCAGAAGGACTAGTTCCTCTGAGGCATCGGAGCCTCTGAGTGCCCCATACCTCCCCCCCTTTAGTCAGCCTTAGCACCTGTAACCCCCCAGAAACCTGAAGGATTGTGCTCCCAGGCTCCCACAAGAGCAGAGATGGAAGGACAAGACCAGGTGCTAGGGAGGAGAGAGGCAGCCTGTCTCTCTCCCGCCCAATCACTGCACTTTAACCAGGGTCTTAGGTACAAAATCCTACTTTTCAGAGCCTCCCAGCTCTGGAACCTCAAACATCCTCATGCTCTCTCCCAGCTCCTTTTGCATAAAAAAATAAAAGAAAGAAAGAAAAATCAACCACAAAACACCAAAACCCACACAGAGAAAAGAGGTGTTTTCTTTTTTTATTACTATTCAAAAATAACAATACAGAAAAGTTGGGGGAAGGGAGAGAATTTCTAAATAGACACTTTTCCAGACCTTTGTGTATGTGTGTGTCAGTGTCCAGGCTGCAGGTGGAATTTTGTAATACTTCTGGCAGCTTCTTTCCTTGTGTAAATAATATATATATATATATTTTTAACCAGAAATTATGGAGATCAAACATAGACTAAACACAGAAGCAAGTGCAATACCACCTCTCCTCCCCCAGGGTTCCTTTGTAGCCTGTTTCGTGTCCCCTTTGACCCTTGCCCTTTCGCCTCTTCTCTTGTCCTCTGGTCCCTTACCTACCCCCCCCCTTCCCTCTTTCTAAAGAGTTTTTCTCCTTTCTCAAAGGGAGTCAAACCAGCTTTTGAGACTTACTGCGAAGCGTTTTGTACCTGTAATATACTGTAAGTAAATATTTGTGTAATGGAGAAATACTACTGTAAGTTTTGTACTGTACTGGCTGAAGGTCTGTTATAAATAAACATGAGTAATTTAACAGCCCTGTTTGTTCTTGGAGACTCCCTTGGTCTTCCTTCCGGGGAGAGAGGCAGACTTCATACCACCATTTCTCCCTTCACGATGAGGACGAGTCTAAGCTTGAGGGGGACCCGGACAAGACCCCTGAAGTTGCTGGTCTAGCAGAGCAGATTGTTTTCCAGACAGGGTCTATGTAGCCTGGCTGGCCTGGAACTCACAGAGATCTTTCTACCTCTGCTTCCCAAATTCTGGGATTAAAAGTGTGGGCTGCCATGACTGGCCTGTATTATTATTATTATTATTATTATTATTATTATTATTATTATTTTGGTTTTTCGATACAGGGTTTCTCTGCGTAGCTTTGTGCCTTTCCTGGAGCTCACTTGGTAGCCCAGGCTGGCCTCGAACTCACAGAGATCCACCTGGCTCTGCCTCCCGAGTGCTGGGATTAAAGGCGTGCACCACCACCGCCCGGCAATGTATTATTATTTTTTTAGATTATAATTTGATTACAACATTTCTCCTTTCCCTGTCTTTCCTCCAAATCCCCCCAAGTTTCTTCCCAATTCAGGGTCTCCTTTTTCCCCCTTATCATTTTTGCATATATATATATATATATATATATATATATATATATACACATTCTGTCAGTCTGTATAACGCCACATGTATGTATGCTTCAGTGCTGACCATTTGGCACTGGACAACCAACCGGTGTGCTCCTCCCTGGGGAGCACCTCTCTTGATCCTGGCTTTTGATGTGGTTCATAGGCATCATAGCTTGGTAGGTCTGTCGGTTGACTTCCTCCTTCGGAAGCTTGAACCGTGTCTTCTGGTACCACAAAACGTGGTCCTCTGGGAGGAAGCATTCAGGTCGGTTTCAACTCAGGGGTCTCTGGGCCCTGTTTTCTGAAGTGCATGCAGTCTTCAGAGGGGTAACCAAGGGCAATGGGAACAGGCTGTATATTTGGGGGTCCCTCAGACAGGAGTCTCCTGCCAACAGTTCAAAAGAGGGGTTCTCTTTTTATTAACATTTGGTGTTGGGGATTTTGTTAGGTGATCTTGGAGGGAGCACCATCATTCCTGATGAGAAGATTCATTAAAAAAGAAAAATATATGTGTAAATTTATACAGGGAGTTGTAGCACAAATTGTTAGAAGGTCTTATTAATAAAAACAAGCCTGGAGCCAGGTATTGGGGTGAATGCTGAACGATCAGAGAGACAGAACAAGCCACAGCTACCTCACCTCGCCAATTCCTCAGCTGATCCTGTTTCCTCAGACTAGAAACCTCTGAATCTTCATCAGAATGGATCTCAGCTGAACTGTGCTTCTCAAAAGCCTAAAAGCTTAACCAGGCTCTAGTTCCTGGTCCTCACGAGTTATATACCTTTCTGCTTCCTGCCATCACTTCCTGGAATTAAAGGCATGAGTCACCATGCCTGGCTGTTTCCAGTGTGGCTTTGAACTCACAGAGATCCAACAGATTTCTGCCTCTGGAATGCTAGGTTTAAAGGTGTGAGTGCCACCATTTTCTGGCCTCTATGTCTAGTGGCTATTCTGTTCTCTGACCCCAGATAAGTTTATTAAGGTGCATGATATATTGGGGAACACAATATCACCACACTTCCCCTTTTTGTCTAAAATAAAAAAGCTTATAACTAATACAAGAAAAACTATATTCAATAAGTATATACAATATATACAATCAAGAATTACATTAACAATCTCCAGTCCATTAACATTTAACAAAATCAGACAAAAAATTTTTATTACTTATCCTTTTTAAAACAAGTAGTTCCTTTTTTTTAAAAGTAGATTCAATAATCTCCCTTTTTATCTTATCAGGGAGTTATTTGTATTATAGGGTTTGGGGTAGATAGTTAATAGTATGATTTATATGGCTTTTTCAGAAGTCCTTATTGTTATTTTTTTAGATTTATTTATTTATTTTATATCTATATATGAGTGCTCTATCTGCATGTACACCTTTATGCCAGGAGAGAGCATCAGATCCCACTGTAGATGGTTGTGAGCCACCATGTGGTTGCTGGGAATTGAACTCAGGACCTCTGGAGGAGCAGTCAGTGCTCTTAACCTCTGAGTCATCTCTCCAGCCCCCTTATTATTTTATCCACTTCCCTCTTCTGTATTTACCTCCCTCCCCTTTCCCATTTCCCCTCTCTATCTCCTTTACCTCCCTCCTTTTTTCTGTATTTACCTCCCTCCTCCTCCCTAAGAAGACCCCCTTTTCCATTTCCTTGATCAGACACTTGCACTCTGCCACTCCCGTCTCTACTGCCCCCC